TTTTTTTTGGCTTTTCTATTTTCTGAACTTTTTTATTTCAGGATCTCACATCACTAGTTTAGTTGATCCAGTCTTATGCAAACGCACATAGGACTAACTAGTGAATAACCCTGAAATAACATAATACACAAATAAATGGTACAATATACATAAATTAACAATCACTCTTAAGCAATTTCGTGTAATAAGAAAATAAATCACAAGTAACAAGATTTTTTAGATTTTTTTAACACTATATATAAGAATACAAAAAATGAAAAACACAAAATAACATATAGCGCAATCATAACATTATGATTTTTCAAATCTAAACTTCTGGTTCAACTAAAATCCTCATAAATAAAATTTCTTACATCTTTTTCCATTAACGATGTCAAAAATTTGATGCCACGATGTTTTGGAGCATCCATCAACCGTAAAAATATACATGTCGATCAAGTAATATATGAATTTAAATATGTACATTAATCCATGAAGGAATAATTTAACTTTTAAATGAGGATGAATATTTAGTCTACTAATTTTGGGTTAGAAAAGTTGAAGTTTTGGTGAAAATTTTGAAGTATCTAATTTTAATTTTATTTGCAAAAGTAACCTAAATTAGTGGTTTCCAAACAAGTGACAGAATTCTCCCTTGAATTGAATCCAAGAAATCTGACTCATACTATCAAATATATTGTTATTGATAATTACGAACAACAATTGCTCCTTAGCCTTTTCCAAGGTCATAAGAAGACTTGAGGTTTCATATTATAATTTATTTTACTATAACGTATAAAAACCTTCATGTTTATGTATTTTCTTATGTGACTATATTAGTCTAGTGGTAATTTTCCTATTCTTCTAAAATAGTGTATATTAATATAATTGTTTCACTAGTCTGCTTTCGTAGTACTAGATCACAACCCATTTTAATATTCAAAGTTGTCAACTTAGAAGTAAATAAAGCAAAAAATATTATCAATATGCACTTGAAAATAATATGGTTCATAAAATCATGGGTTAAATCTAAATTTTATTTATTACAATTCGAGGGAGAAAGAGATTTAGTGATGATGCATTATAAATGAAAATAAAATAACTTTCATTGCAAATGACAAGTAATGCTTATATATAAAGTAGGAGCAACCAAACTTGAATATAACAAATTTTTCTCCATAGTGTTCCTCTTATTTAGACCTTAACACTTACACACATTTACACTAATAAAAGAAAGAAATACACTCACACAATATCTCTCACTCATGCTATTAGTATTTCTCCTCTCTCCTCACTTTTTCACTCGATGTCTTTTGTCTTCTCTCTTCATCTCCAAGTCTCCTCTCCCATTCCGTTCAAAGTGTCTGTTATTTATCACTTCTATAGCTCTAACCGACTCAAAGCTATGTGTAGCTATCATTTTGCATGACTGGGCCTCGAGCACAAGGTTTTCACTCTCTCAAAAATCTTAAGCTATTTCATGAGTTGGAGAGCCCATTACTAATGTTAGGGCAATTGAGGCTTTGACTTCAGGCTACTAGGCACCAGGGAATCTAGGGCTCTGACTTCAGACACCTAGAACTAGGGCCACTAGTTCAACACTTAGGCAATCCATTTCAACTTATTCAATAAAAAAATAAAATACACATGTAATATGTAAAGTAACACAAATAAAGATAAAATAATATAGAACTAACACACACATTTGATACACATTAGAGGTCCACCTCTTCATTCTTTTTTCTGATGTGTTCGCCATTCAATTTCTAAAGGTTAGATAAAATATTTTGAACCTTGGATGATATTTATTCTTTCATTATTCTCTTAGCATTGAATGACTGACAAAAATTCCCTTCGTGTTATGATTTATTTCAGTTTCCATTATTTGGAATATTTTCTATCAATATGGAGATATTTGGTTGTCATTTGTTTCAATTGTTTTTGTTTGGTTTATTTTCTATCAATATGGAACTATTTGGTTGTCGTTTGTTCCAGTTTCCATTATTTAGGAAGTTTTTTTTGCTGATGTGGCGGTGTTTGGTTAATTGTGTCGCGGATGATTTTTTTTAATGAGGAAAAAAATAAAAGTTTGGTAGGGAATAAAGTTAGTATTTGGGGGGATGTTACTCAAGTAATGCGATCTTTAACATATGATCTTCTACTATTGTCCGTAGGTGAATACTATGTATGCTTTGAATGGTTATTTATGATGGTTTGAATGGTTGATGATGATCTCAGTTGCCTTAGTCTTACTCTTGGAGTACTTTGATGATATTATGGTTTTAATGCTCTATGTTTATGCTAGTGTAAATTTCGGTGATATTGTGATTTGATTGCTTGATTTTTATTCTAGTGTTTTTTAGTTATATGATAGTTTCAAAATTTAGTTTCTCTATTGGATAAATTTGTCCATGGGCATAGTGATTTGAAAATTGTTTTAGAAATTTATGTACATGCCTCACAAGTTTTATGTAGTAACACCTCTAACTTCTAAAATTTAATATTTATGATGCATTGGTATCATTAATCTAAAGAATTGATAGATACATATTCAAATACGAATGTTTTGGTGTGATATATGTAAATATAATAGAATCATGTGCTCCAATGAAAATCATATATGATATGTTTTTTAATGTTTACCATTGTGGATATTAATCATTGAGATTAATATTATAAAATCATTATCACTGTTATTTGCATAGTTTATGAGTACTATGAATCCTATATTTGCAAAACTTTATGTATGATCTCTACCTTCATTGAGGAGAAATGCGTCGTTGAGTTATGAGTCACACTAGAAGATTTCATAACAAGTTCCATATGTCACCTTTAATTTTTTTCTAGATCACTTGCATGAGCTAGAAATTCATCGTAACCTCCACAAATCATCTTGAATAACATAAAAAGAAGTTCTGGTTGTAACATTGTATAGTTTGTCACATAACAAATTTGTAAGGTCAACAAGTGAGGGATTTAATATTCATCTGAAAACAATTAATAGGTATTTCTCTATTGGTCTAAATGCCTTGATCAACTTATTCTCCAAAGTTATAATGTTGTTAGCTATATTATTTCAAATGTTGCAATCAAAAATATCTCATGACTATCAGTATATGTCATACTTAAATGTACATATTATCTTATACTTATTTATATTAATAAATCACATAATTTCTTAAATCAATAAATTACTGTGTGATACCATATTGTGTCAAAGCGATTGTTGGAACACATATGGATGCTCACATCTCTAATAAAGAGAAAGTGGCATACATTGGGTGTTTTGGCTCACCCACACAAATTGTAATGACAATATGTGACTTCAATATAAGCTTTACTTTCGTGATGTCCGACTAGAAAGGAAGTGCACATGATGTTTGTTTTTTCAAATTTACCACATGATCAACTCAATATAATTTTATAATGACACCTCTAGGTAGGTCACCTTTAAAATTATTCTTGATTTAACACAATCATTTAAGAACTCATTTTACAAAACTTTTATAAGAAAAATATTATCTTGTGGATGTTAAATACCTTATGTAATGAATGTTTTTGAAGTCATATACTGATACAAAATATCACTTACCTAACTTTGAAAGGAGCAGTTAAGTGATTCGACTGAAGAAAGGAATATTCAATAAGCGATACTCATCATTACATGGGGTCATTAAGCGAACACTTGAAATCTGAAAAAATAAGTGGGTTATCTTACGAGATATATCTACGCATTCATTCCTATAGCATGTTAAAATAGTTGTGACTAAAATAACACTACATAATTTCGTACCATACGACCCTTCACATCATGATGTTGAATTCAATATTTTAGATGAAGATTGATCATATGTCCCACCTGAAGCGTATGAGTATCAAATAAGACAAGGAATGCATGAGTTTACTTAAGATACAGTAAATTCTTAGTCGCATGATGGTGAAGGAGTTGAGGAGATGAAAGAGATGCTTTATGTAATAATAAAATTGAGAGTTAGATAGTATTTACTTTACATTTAGGCTATGAACAAATTCTTCGCTTGATTCCAGCTGGTACTGACTTTCTTAGGTTGATAATATGAGTTTTTGGGCTCATTTTCTGATTAAAGTTGAGATGGGTTTATTAAACTTTACATTTTAAGAAAAAAATATAAGTTCTAGAACTTCTATTGCCTATAGAGTAGTGTATTATAACTTAGATTTGCAATGTTGCATGTTTAGGTCATAATGGGAAGCTAGCTATAAACAAAGATTTTATAGACGTCATAAAAATAGATTAATAGATGATTACAATTTTTTAAGACGGGCCGACGACTACAAGTCTGCTTCATATAGTGATCATGTGTGGAAAGTAGATTGGGAGAAAAAATATTCTCGACAGACTAAAACGTTTAGATACCAAGAATAATATTATGATAATATTATTTGTTGCTATTGTGATTTTAATTTTCGTGTTACTCTTTATTAAGTAATATATAAATTTATATGTAATAGAATGAATTGACTTTCTGTCAACTTCTAAAAAAATTTTTTGATGTTTCATTTGAATTTAGTATGAAATTGTTAAAATATAGTTTACACATATACAGAACATATACAGAAGAGTAGTACAATTTTTTTTTCAGAAATGCTTTCATCACAACAAGTTAACAGCAGACCATTCCAAATAGACATACTGTTTCACCAACATCTTTCTCACAACAACTTCACAATTACTTCTTCAAACAACTACTGCCCCAAATAGACCTTTAATAACCCAATTTAACCACATTTGATCCGGCATGATGACAATTTAACTTATAGAAGAGACTATTTTACAATTTTTTTAAATCAAATCCATTGACCTTGCACATAATATTTTTTTATATATATTACTATTATTATTGTTATTATTTTTGCTGCTACTGCTGTTGTTTAAAATCTTGATCTACCATCACACAATTTATGTACCCTTGGCAATATGTTAAGTAAGGAATTACAAGCAGAACATACAATAATCTATTTATATCTAAATATTATGAGCAAATACATCAGCTAAAAGCAGTTCTGAGTCAGAATACAGAGCCACCACAAATAAAACTTTTAAATACATATTTTTTACTAGACATTTGAGTGAAACACCATATATACAAGCCTTATATGGCCACATACATCTTAGGCTGAAAACCAAAACCCTCAACCAACAAATTAAAATGCCTTGCATCAATTCTCTTTAGATTTGAGTTCTGATGGATCAATGAGACCTTCCAAGACAACAAGTTGGTCCAGAAGCTCGAACTTATCGTTTTCTAGAGCCTTGATTTCAGTCTCAACCATACTCAGTGCACGATCCAAAGACAGGCCTTCTTCCTCCAACAAAAGATATTTGTGTCTTAGTCCTCGATAGTCGCCGCCGCCGAAGGATGAGGAGGAATCCGGCAGAGATTCTGACGCAGAACCGTCGGTGTGCTCGAAGTGTTCGGTTTTTGGATTTCTTCTCGCGGTCTTCTTTGACTGCAGTGAACCTGCAAAACCTGCTTTTGCTTTATCCGCCTCTGCCTTCTTAGTGGCAGATGCAGCTTTCTTCTTAGCAGCTGGCTTTGGACGAGAAAGTTCCTCAGGAGGCATTCTTCCAGGTTCTTGCATTTCTTTCTGTGGTAAATCATAAAAAAAGCTTCTCATACTCAAAACTTTCAAGAGCCATTTACATACATACAACACAATTCCTATGTATTTACATATATAACACCTAAACTTTATTTTTTTTTACATTTATACCACACCAGTCTTTCATATCACATAAAAAAAACCATTGTTTTAACTTTTAAAAGGTGAAATATATCTTTTCATGTATAAATAGAGTGGGATATGTGTAAAAATTGAAGTTTAGGGGTTAGATATGTGAATACATAACAATTGAGTGGTGTGTATGTAAAACTTCCAAGTTTAAATAAGTACTAGGAATAATCCCCAACTCGAAACAGAAAAAAAAAACAAACGTGGATGTATTATGTCTACGATTACATGATCCTGCTAAGAACGCCCACAGCTGATGTGGAGCTTCAAAAATACCATATTTGCACGTTAAATTGATTACATGATCAAAATTGTGGAATGAACAAAATAAGCATGGTCTGATGAGACCCAAACAATCCATGAGGTTGCTTGACTAAAATTGAGTAAGCTCAAGGCTGGCTGGAATGAGTGCATTAAGCTCAATAAAGCAAATTGACTTTTGCCTTGTGTCTCTAAAAGTTAAAGTTGAACTTCATTAGATTTAGCTGGTGGCATGCAACCATTAGGTGGTAAATATGTCAACATAAGCTAACCAAAGTAAACACAACTCAATATCAAATAAAATCTTGTCTATCAGATGTAATCATGATTAATTGGATACACTTGGTTGGATCTAAGTCTTTACTAGAGCCAAGGTGGTTGAATGGACCCAAGTGAATTTAAAGATCATATTAGTTGACTAATCTAAACTGCAAATTAAGCAAACTTAATCTAGCTGAGTTTAATCCAAGTTGACCTAATTTACACCTTGATTAAATCCTAAATTGTTAATCCAAGTAATACAACAATCTAGATTGCACAATTACAAGATTGATTGATTTCAATTAATCCATTAAGAACACCTAACCTAACCAGAAGGCCAAATCAATACCAAATTCATAAGAAACTAACTTCATAAGAAACTAACTAAAACGAAAGCCAAAGAGAATTGGTCCAACAAACAACTATAAAAGAGAATCCAAATTGAAACCAAATCCACTTGACTTGAGGTCTGTTTGGGACGGCTTTATTTCTGCTTTACTTTTCAAACTGTCATCATAGTTCTGTATGAGAAACTGTTTTCTTACAGCTTTTTAGAAATTTTTATGGCAGAAAACTGCTTTTTTCAACCTGAGTTGTTAAACTGTAATGGCTGCTAGAAAGCTGCGGTCAGACTTTTTGAAAACAAAATAAATTTATAATAGTCACTACAGCTTTTTAAAAAACACTTTCTTCTACAGCAGTTTCACAGTTGCCTCTTCGAACAGTTGCAGCTGCCCCAAACATACCCATAATTCATTCATACCCAAATTGGGTGAAGCCAAGCACACCGAATCCAATTAGACCAAAAACACTGAATCCATTTCAATCAAAGGAACTAAGTTGTGATTACTCCTCTTACTTTGTCAAATCCATCATTGAGTGCACGTCACCAAGATTGAGCCTAAGTAACATTTAATTAGTGTTATTCAAATCATCCACGGCCATCAAGCTCGACTAGTTGTATGTGGTACTTGGGACAAATCAAAAGCTACACTTAGCTCTAGATTATTAAAGTAGGTTCCCAAACTCAAGCGCTAGCTCCAACCATAAGTTCATTCCACAATTTCTCTCCAAAGAAACTTCGATGTCACTTACGCACATGTGGTTGTAGTACCCCAAATGCTACCCAAGGCTATCAATAGTACTTCCCAAGGCTATCAATAGTACTTCCAACCTCCAATGCAAGAGATTGGAAGGCTATTGCAACAAGATATCGAAGGTACAACCCATACTCTTCTTTAAGGATGAGAAGCACAACCTAGGGTCTACAACGTGCCAAGCTGCACTACATGCTTAGCATTATAGAATCTAGAAAGTTATAGAGCTTTTAAATCATTAGACCGCAACGCAATCTATCCCAGTCACACATAATGATTGCTATGGAAATATTAATCACTAGACATCGATCAAATGGCTCAGACAATGCCAAATCAAATAAAAGATGAAGACAAGCAGAATCAAAATGAATTTTAAATCATTTACAAAATCTTAATACTATGAATTACAAAATTAAAGTTTAATTAATTAAAAAAAATCAAGTTCATATGCCATATAAATCTCATATCATGTTGCTTAGAAAATAAGTACATTATCAATGTTAAACACATGATGTTTTATAGATAATTCAAAACTAATTGAATATTATGCAACATTTCAAAAAATTAGATGGAAAGCAGTGTTGCGCTCTTTGAACCAGAATATCTCATGTGGGAACATTAACATTGCTGATTGGATATGAATCTCTCAAGGTCATAGGGCACACGTTTTGAAAAACAAAACATATATAATACTTGTCACGTGATCTTGCATTACAAGAGAGGTTATATATACATATTATGATAAAGAAACTATTAGAGTAATATTTTATAAATTTAAAAAAAATGAAATAATCAAAATGCAACAAGAAATTTGTTGGCATAATCTACATCATATAGCATTTGATATTAGTAAGGGATCAACAGTATAAAAAATAATAATCAAGCTCCATGCAGAAGTACTGGATAAACCTGCCATTAGCAAGCTGAAAATTCTAAACAATTTTACAGAACTTATTGCAAAGAAATCACTGCACTGCCATAGTTTTGGTACCTAAGGTTTAATGTGAATCATACATGAAAGGAATTGTCATGATTTGGGTATCTTTTTGTAGTGTTCAATGCTGTGGGTGATAATCCAGTTAAAAAAATAGCTGATTGTTCAAAAATATATATATTTGCTAAAGAAAAAGTTGGCAAATTCGTGTCTAAATATGTATGCTTTTCAGAACTCTGGTAGAGCTTGTTTTAATATAATGTTGCAAAGAGAGATGCAAAAGAAAAATAAATGATTTTATCTAATTATTAAGCTTACTTTAGTTATTATTTGGATAGGAATATAAACTGGAAATCATAACAAAATACGGGCATTTACATACATACGACCTAATTCTTATGTTTTTACATTTTAAGATATAAACTTTGGTTTTTTACATTTCTACCAGCCAAATCTTTTGTATTACATAAAAAATACCTCTATTTTAACTTTTAAAAAGTGAAATACACCTTTCATGCATATGTATGAGGCATATATGTAGAAATTGAAATTTAGGTGTTAGATATGTAAATACATATGAATTTAGTGGATGTATGTAAATCTTCCATAAGAAATAGAATTAGAAGGAATCATATAAAAGAGGGAGAAGAATAAGCAGAAGAACTAAGCTCCCGTGGCAAGCTGAAATTAAGATGATGCTTCTGGTGAGCCACTACCGCCAGCAATGATTTCATGGTGGATGGTCCGACGAAAAATGTAAGGCGGGCTCTCTTCCTCAATGAAATCCGATAAAAAGCTGAACTTTGTAAGACCAAGTGTGTATCAAGGAACCATCGCACATGGCATGAGTGATTTAACTGGCAGGGCCTACTAGGTAGATGTGTGCCTTAATTAAATGGAATATTTATCTGGTGCAAAAAAGGAAGAGTTGAAAGCAAAAAATCTAACCGCTCAAGAACATGTCTTTCATCAGTAAATTTAAATTCCAGCTTTCATTATATTCTCATTTAAAGTTAAAATTATTTCTTTCAATCCATATTAATTACTTTGGATTTCGAATCCTTTCATGATGCTGTTTAGGGAATATTTATTTGTTCTTTTTGGCTGGAAATTTATATCCAATTTTTGTGATGAAAAATGCCAATATTTAGTTGTGGGATGTTTAAATTGAATCGAGCTTGAATGTTGTGAAGCCACTTGTAAGGCAAAAATTTAAAAATATATAATTAAATGCCTTAAAAGATCATAAAATCTCTTTAAAAAGGGGGACCATTTATAAAGTGTATTAGAGTGTGCAGAATGTACGGTTCATTGTGCTGGAACAATCAAATCTATCAAATTTTCTAAAGTGGCATCTAATTTCTACAAATTTTTCAAATATTCATCAGACTTCCAAAATATTTTTAAATTTGAAGAAAGCTCTTTTAAAGAATAGTAAATGGTATGAAACCCAATTCACTCCAAGTGAATCCGACATATAGATCAACAAACTAATAAATTTATAAATAAACCCACAAGTGTTTGAATATAATGAACCTTGAATCATAACATTAGCATACAAATCTGAGGGCATGGTAAACTCAAATATGCTCGATATCTCATCTCAAAATTAGTCGGTAGTCTAAGCCAAATTCACAAGTGTACATAACCAAATTCAAGAAAATTTAGTATGGTAAATAAAGTCAAATCAAGCCCATCGAAGAAAAAATAAGACCCTAAGGCATTCCTAGATCTAAGGCTCTAAATTTTAGCTGTAAATTCATCTTGTTTATAAGATGGGATTATAAGGCGCATTGTCATACGCTTCTCTAATTTAAGAGACATAAGATCTACGTAAGGCTTCTCTTAAGCTTTGTATTGCAAGTCCATGGCCATTTTTGTTGCTACATGTCGAGGCATTGACCATCATCATTGTCATTTTCGCATTGTATCAACCAAAAAAAGCTAAATCCGTCCTACTCTTACCATTTTATCAGCCAACAAGACTTCTACTAGAAGATAGCTCACATGATATGTTCATTCAGTTTGTGTGCATTTTCATGACTATGTAACATAAATTACACACATATGTATGTACATCATCATCACTAAGCTCATCTTAACTACTCGAAGCCAGCTTTATAAATCCTCATTTTCCATTTGCTCATGTTGAGTGCTGCCAAAAATATTAAATCTATTCTTCCTAAATAATTTTGAACAACCTCTATTCATGTTATCTTACACTTGTCCTTCCACTTTCATAATCCTCCAACACAACTTAATCATTCTACTCTAATGGGTGCATTATCATCCTTATTACTGAATTTTGCTGCCCAATGCCATGATACGTACACTAACACTAGCAAAATTGCATTTTTATAAAATTAGCTTCAAACAGTATATCTTGTCACAAAACAATAATAAAACATGTATTCATTTTAATCACTTAGCATTAAATCTACAAATTATTCTCAATTATATAGTCATTCTTCTGTGCAATAGATCCAACACCTAAATTTATTGTTATCTTTTAATAAAATTGATTAATAACTTTTAGAATTAAAATCACTAATATTGCGTATTATATACTCAATTCTCATTCTACTACTCCCATATACTTAATCTTCTAACTATTTTCTTAATTTTTATATTCTTTACACATTTCAATTAATTAATAGTTTTTAAGGTTAAAATCACTAAAATTGCATATTATATACTCAATTCTTATTCTACTACTCCCATATACTTAATCTTATAACTTTTTTCTTAAATTTTATATATTTACATATTTCAATTAACACCTCACCAATTAGAGCCATATAATCTTAAGAGAAAAAAAACTCCAAGGCACCTTACTCGAGGATTCTTTATAAGCATCCTCATAAGCAATAGAAAAAGACAATAAAGTTAATATTGATCCTTAATATAATTCTCCTACAATGGAAAAATATAGTCATTCTTTAACTAAATCAAATACAAGTTAGTACACTATCAAACATTTTTAATAATTTCAACGTAACTTCGGCACACAATTTTCAAGCTTAATGTGCACCAAATTAATTATTTTGTGACTCAATTACACACATTCTTAAAATCAATAAAGATCATATGAATTCTTAGATTTATTGTACATACTTTTTCATTGTTTTAACATAAAAACATTTCCATCATAATTTTTTTTGGCTTGATGCCACATTAGCTCTCCAAAAATTGATGTGAATTTTAAGTGTGAGCTCCAATATTTTGTCCTATAGCTTCATCATATGAATCATATGTTTGATTTCTTTAAAGTTAGCATAATATTGAACATCCATTTATTTTTAAATATTGGTACCAAGAAGCTTTTTATTTAACTATTTGGCATCCTATTATTCTATACAACTTTACAAAAAATATTTCTTAGCCAAGTCAATATAAAATCCCTGATAACGTTCCAAATCTAATATTCCAAATCTAATAGATACCTTACATGAACATAAAACCTTACTTTCATGCATCTTCTTAACAAATAATTCAATTGCTAATCTTTCAGAACAAAAATATACCACATTATACAATTCATAATGATTTTAAAATAACCTATTGCATAATCCCCTCATTTATTATTTTCCCAAAGTAAAATTTTCATAATTTTTAAATGCATTCATCTCGAACTAAGATTTTATTGATAAGTCACCAAAAAATCCACTTGATTGGGCACAACCCTTGATGCATTTTGGATGAGATCACTTATAGAGTCAAATTCAAGATCATTCAAGCCCTATATTTAATAAATTAATAATCGCACAGACTATCTTAAGACTCTTGATAAGGAAAAAATGATAACGCAAAAGTAATCCAATCTGAATCTAAATGAGCCCAAATATGGCTAGAACTTTAGAAAATTAATAAAGTCAAACAATCTTCAAGTCTTATATACTTATAATCAAATAAAGCATTTTGGCTAGAGGAATCCGAAAAGGTCAAAATCAATCAACTATGAGGTCATTAAAGAAATTAAATGCAGAAAGATCGAACTATGATCAACAAAATACTTTGATGGAATACTATGAGGTTTTGACACGATTTTCTAAAATAGAACTCTGAATTATTATAAATAGATCATCATTCTCGCTTTGACTTGATTTGAAAAGAGTTTGGACATTTGAAGAACTCTTGTGCTTTACCAAACGTCCAATTTCGATAGCCACCAACCACCGTTAACCTGACTACTATAGTCTGACCATGTTGATTATTCAGTATATAATGCAAATGAGCATGTCAATAAGTAATTAGACTATCATTCTTATAAGTAATTTAATATAAATTTTGAGAAATTAATTAGTAATTTATACTAGCCTAAGTTTATTATTATTATTATTATGAAGATACCCTAAGTTTTCATTCAACAATCGTAGTGATTATAAAATTACAGCTAAAAACTTGATTCTAAAATCCAATAATAGGAGAAAATACCGTGAATTTATGATCTATCTAAAACTAATTTTCTTGAATTTCTTAAGTTGAAATTTTGAGATTAATTAAATTGCAATCAAGAACATATTTATTTTCTAATCTCTTTCGATAATTATAAAGCATATTCAATCTTCCTAATTCAATATATGAACTAATTAGATGATTGCATTAAAGTTCATCCTTATAGATTAATAAATCTTCAGTAAGCATAATCCTATCCTATTTAAGGATTTGCTAGATTTTTGTTAGATTATCCTATTTATTCATTTAAGATTCTTTCGATATTTTTAGATCACACTAGACTTGTCAAATCTTGAATTTTTACAAGTTATTTTTGTAAGTTCCATCCTGAAAATTCTTAGTTTTCTGATGCGAGAGATAGTTGATCCCTCTACTATGGTTGTTCACAGAGTAAAAGCTCATATTATTACAAAAGTTCCCAATGCACATGGCAAATAATTTGTATAATTTATGCTAAAGATATTGCACAAATATCCCAACAAAGAAAACCAAAACAACCAAAATATCAAAGATGCCTTTCTCACCAGAATCAAAAAAGTTATCTAATAATAGTTCATTAAATACATTTAGGACTAATATTCTAATACAGATCTAAGATTCTAATCATCGCAAGTATCGATAATCACTACAAAAATTCAAAAGACAAATCAATCATATTATTATCATTTGCAATAAAAGGTAATTAGCTAAGATTGAACTTTTGACACTCTAAGACCAACAAAATCTTTATTTTATAAGAATAACATATAAATCATCAAGGTCAAATTAGAGAAGATCAATGAGTTATGACAAAAAAATTCTTCAAGTTACTGAATAAGAAATATTGCCACAACCTATATGCCTTCATGCCTTCATATATAAGATCTCATTACTAAGGCTGCATTTGGGACAGCTTATTTAGAGCGGTGGCGTTTTCAGTTTTGAAAACGCCACCGCCTGTTTGGAAATTCCAGTCTGATTGCGTTTGGGAAAACTCAGTTTTTAACTTTATATTATACGCGGATCGCGGGGTCCTTCCCGGGATCCGCGTTTAATGCTGTCGAAAGACGACACTTGCCCCTCCTCCCGTCTCTTCTACCCTAATCTCGCGTCCCTCCTCTGCCCTGAGGCTCGATCCCGTGCGTAGCGCTCCTCGGCAATCCTCCGTCTCTACCGTCTGGTGTTAGCTTTGCGCTCCTCCATATTCCGGTCGCTCCTCCTTCGTTCACCAAACTCCTCTGTCTTCGGTTCGAAGAAATCCTCCCTCTTCTCTTCTCGTTCTCACTGGTAACCTCATTTTTTTATCTCCTTCATTTTCTGTTTAGGACTCCGATTTGTCTGTTCCCGTGAAGATGCCGCTGGAAGTTTTTCCTTTCGCAGCTTGTTCATCCGAGCGCTTTTGTTAAAGATTTTTTGGATGGTTTTTCTTTTCTGTGGAAGTTTATGAGCTGGAAGTTTATATGGTTTTCCTTAT